CAAAAAAATTTTTTTTTAATTCATGTATAGGTAAAAGTTACAGAAGTTCTTTTGTATTCTAGAGAACACGACCTGGGGAGAACCCAATGGGATTTTAGCTCACTTGGACAAAACCCCATTGGCTAATAACCCATTGCTAAATTTGGCAAGGAAGACAATAGCCCACTGCTAAATTTGGCAAGGAAGACAATAGCCCACTGCTAAATTTGGCAAGGACAATAGCCCACAGCCAAATTTGGCAAGGAGGAGAATAGCCCACAGCTAAATTTGGCAAGGAGGAGAATAGCCCACAGCTAAATTTGGCAAGGACAATAGCCCACAGCTAAATTTGGCAAGGAGGAGAATAGCCCACTGCTAAATATGGCAAGGAGGACAATAGCCCACTCCTGAATTTGGCAAGGCGGACACTAAACCACTAAGGAGGACAATAGCCCATAGCTAAATTTGGCAAGGACAATAGCCCACAGCTAAATTTCGCAAGGACAATTTTGCAGAAGAACAATAGTCAGCTGCCAAATTTGGCAGGGAGGACAACAGCCCATTGCTAATCAAAAAGGGTTTTTAAATCATATTTGAACTTTTTTCATGAAAAATACATTGAGTAATGTTTATGCATTTTTTTATAATAAAATCATCAAACAAATTTCAAACTAGAGGATGCTTTTGTAAAAAAGCGCATGTCTCCCCCACTGCTGAGAATAACTGTGAATGGAAACAGGAATGGAAATGGAGATAAAAGAACAGAGTATATAAAACCAGACAACTGATATATCACTGATATATCAATAATAGTTAAATGTCCTCACTGATAAGAACTCTAGTTATCATCCGGAAATGAGAAAATGACCAATGGTCACTGTGACCTTAACCTTTGACCTACTGACCCCATAAACAAGAGGGATCATCTGCTCAATAAGACCAATCATCCTATGAAGTTTGAGGGTTGTAGGTCTAAAGGAACTCTAGTTATCATCCGGAAAGGAGAAATTAACCAACGGTCGCTGTGACCTTGACCTTTGACCTACTGACCATTAAAACAATAGGGATCATTTGATGAATAAGACCAATCATCCTATGAAGTTTGAGGGTTGTAGGTCAAAAGGAACTCTAGTTATCATCCGGAAATGAGAAATTGACCAACGGTCACTGTGACCTTGACCTTTGACCTACTGACCCAAAAAAAACAATAGGGATCATCTGCTCTATAAGACCAATCATCCTATGAAGTTTGAGGGCTGTAGGTCAAAAGGAACTCTAGTTATCATCCGGAAACGAGAAATTGACCAACGGTCACTGTGACCTTGACCTTTGACCTACTGACCCCAAAAACAATAGGGATCATCTGCTCTATAAGACCAATCATCCTATGAAGTTTGAGGGCTGTAGGTCAAAAGGAACTCTAGTTATCATCCGGAAACGAGAAATTGACCAACGGTCACTGTGACCTTGACCTTTGAACTACTGACCCCAAAAACAATAGGGATCATCTGCTCAATAAGACCAATCATCAGTCCTATGAAGTTTGAGGTCTGTAGGTCTAAAGGAACTCTAGTTATCATCCGGAAACGAGAAATTGACCAACGGTCAGTGTGACCTTGACCTTTGACCTACTGACCCCAAAAACAATAGGATCATCAGCTCTATAAGACCAATCATCCTATGAAGTTTGAGGGCTGTAGGTCAAAAGGAACTCTAGTTATCATCCGGAAACGAGAAATTGACCAACGGTCACTGTGACCTTGACCTTTGAACTACTGACCCCAAAAACAATAGGGATCATCTGCTCAATAAGACCATTCATCCTATGAAGTTTGAGAGCTGTAGGTCAAAAGGAACTCTAGTTATCGTCCGGAAACGAAGAATGGACGGACGGACTGACGGACGGACTGACGGACGGACGGACTGACGGACGGACAGGGCAAAAACAATATGTCTCCCCCCGAGGTGGGGGAGACATAATTAAGAACAAGTACATGTGTCTCTTTTTTAATTTGAATCTAATTTGCCCTATATTTATTACTGAAAAAAAAAAAAAACCCAAAAAAACACTTTTATTTTTTTAACAAAATATCTGGCAATATTTCTGCAGAGAAAAACAACAGGTCATAACTAAGACTATAGCAAATTCTGAAAAAACTAGAACTGCCACTTTCATGGCCTGAATACCCCCGCATACCACTTTGTCAGAATCAACAGTGGACATTTAAAGCTCAAGACAACCTCGGTTACTAAGCCAGTGCATTGCTAAGTTATGTATTCTACATGCTTCAAATGTAAAAAAAACAAAACAATACACTGCACAGATATTCTTAAGCAATTGAGAGGAAAAGATTTTTTTTTGTCAAGGTCCCTGTGACCTTGACCGTTAACCCAGTGACCTCAAAATCAATAGGGTCACCTTATGGTCATGATCAACATCCATGCCAAATACGAAGACTGTGGGTCAAAGGAATCTTAAGTTAATGGGCGGACAAGCTTTTTGAAGTCAAAGCCCACTGTGACCTTTACCTTTGACCTGGTGACCTCAAAGTCGATAGGGGTCATCTACTAATCATGACTAACCTTAATGCCAAATATGAAGACTGTGGGTCAAAGCAATCTTAAGTTATTGGGCAGATAAACTTTTTGAAGTCAAAGTCCCTGTGACCTTGACCTTTGATCCAGTGTCCTCAAAATCAATAGGGGTCATCTACTAATCATGACTAACCTCCATGCCAAATATGAAGACTGTGGGTCACCACAGTCAAAGGAATCTTAAGTTATTGAGCAGACAAGCTTTTTATAGTCAAGGCCCCTGTGACCTTGACCTTTAACCTGTTGACCTTAAAGTCAATAGGGGTCATCTACTAATCATGACTAACCTCCATGCCAAATATGAAGACTGTGGGTCAAAGGAATCTTAAGTTATTGGGCGGACAAGCTTTTTTAAGTCAAGGCCCCTGTGACCATGACCTGGTGACCTCAAAGTCAATAGGGGTCATCTACTAATCATGACTAACCTCCATGCCAAATATGAAGACTGTGGGTCAAAGGAATATTAAGTTATTGGGCGGACAAGCTTTTTGAAGTCAAGGCCCCTGTGACTTTGACCTTTGACCTGGTGACCTCAAAGTCCAATAGGGGTCATCTACTTATCATGACTAACCTCCATGCCAAATATGAAGACTGTGGGTCAAAGGAATCTTAAGTAATTGGGCGGACAAGCTTTTTTGAAGTCAAAGCCCCCTGTGACCTTTACCTTTGACCTGGTGACCTCAAAGTCGATAGGGGTCATCTACTAATCATGACTAACCTTAATGCCAAATATGAAGACTGTGGGTCAAAGCAATCTTAAGTTATTGGGCGGACAAGCTTTTGAAGTCAAGGCCCCTGTGACCTTGACCTTTGACCTGGTGACCTCAAAATCAATAGGGGTCATCTACTAATCATGACTAATCTCCATGCCAAAAATGAAAACTGTGGGTCAAAGGAATCTTATGTTATTGGGCAGACAAGCTTTTTGCAGTCAAGGCCCCTGTGACCTTGACCTTTGACCTGGTGACCTCAAAATCAACAGGGGTCATCTACTAATCATGACTAACCTCCATGCCAAATATGAAGACTGTAGGTCAAAGGAATCTTAACCTATTGGGCGGACAAGCTTTTTGAAGTCAAGGTCCCTGTGACCTTGACCTTTGACCTGGTGACCTTTAAATCAATAGGGGTCATCTACTAATCATGACTAACCTCCATGCAAAATATGAAGACTGTAGGTCAAAGGAATCTTAAGTTATTGGGCGGATAAGCTTTTTGAAGTCAAGGTCCCTGTGACCTTTGACCTGGTGACCTCAAAATCAATAGGGGTCATCTACTTATCATGACTAACCTCCATGCCTATTATGAAGACTGTGGGTCAAAGGAATCTTAAGTTATTGGTCGGACAAGAAAAAACCGCCAGACAGCCTGACGGACAAGCTGAATCCAGTATACCCCCCTTACAACTTTGTTGTGCGGGGGTATAAAAATTACTTGCTAACAAAACAATATTAAAAGGAATCTACTGAGGTTTTTTGCTCATGAAGGGAAATAATTTTTTGTAATAATCTTGAGATTAAATTTGATGTAGGTCTAGACTAAAAACTTGTGTGCAGAATTTTAATATTCTTATTGTGAAAAATGACCCATAATTGAGAAGTGCTGCAATGACTTTCACTAAAATTGGGCTATTAAGAACAGCACAGAAATGTAGGATTTTCTTTTTATTTTTATGTGTATATCTCAGATATCTTTTGCATATCTTTTTTGTTTTAAGTGCTAAGCTGATCTATGAAATTTTGTTTTTGTTTTCTTTTTGTTTTTAGACTTTTGACCTCAGTGGAGTTTCTTCACCATATTAAGTTCCTGTACATGTACAATAAAAGTCTTTCAAGCACCAGTTAATCACATGTTTCCCCACATCTTCAGCAATATTTTCATAGCAATGAAAAAAAACAGTAAAATAATTTAACAATATAATAACATAAATATGCTTTATATCAAACTTACAAGACTAGCAGATAATTACCAGTAATCTCATGCAAACAAAACAACCTAGCACCAATGAAAAACATACAACTCTGATCAACTTGCTTTTCATACATGCTCGAAAGTTTGACATTATTTCATTAATGTTATTGAACCTTAGAAATTTAAGGCAAAGAAAATTTTACCTTTTTCTTTTGTTTCCTCATCTTTTACTGAATCATCAGGTGTCTTCCCATCTTTATCTATATTCATTTGTGAGATCTTGAATGTGTCGTAGTTCACAAATGTAGCTGATGGTATCTGGGCACGTAGACGACTTGACAAACCACCTGTACAGATATAAATTTGAATAGTTAATTAAATTTATCCACCAAATTATTAATATTAAAGAACTTTTAGGGACTCAAATGATGAAACACAAAACTGACAAATTGTGAGAGCATGTTTGATAAAATCTCATTTTTATCTTTAAATCCTTGACAATTAATTACATTATAACATATTATATGCCTATCAATGATAACCCCAACAAACTATTCAAAAGATTTTGACTTTTTTAAATCCCTGGACATTTAAATAGTAAAATTTCCATTGAATACCTGAAGAGCATTAATTTTGACTTTGGCATATACATGTATCTTGAGATTAAGTTACCAAAAATGAAAAAAGAAAAATCCACAATGTCAGTAGTGTGGTGACTTAAGAAGGTAAACACCTGACTCATTTAACTGGAGCATTAAATTCATTATTCAACATTGAGTTTTAGTTTTTAAGACACTATAATGCAGTGATAAGTTTTAATTTTAGATGGTTGAAAATAACATAATTATTTAATGATAAATCATCAGATACTGGGTACAATAAATGATGGGAACAAAATAATCACCTAGTTTTTCATCTTGTCTGGAAGCACTTTTCTCCTACAAATATAAAATCATGATTGTTATCAAAATTAAACAACAATATACAGTCTAACTTGCCCATGCGACCACGTGTATTAAGCGACTTTTGTCTTAAACGACCACTTTAAATTCCCCCCCATCATTTTCTCTCTATATCTTTAATGTATTAAGCGACTTTTGCTCAACGCGTCCAGCGACCGCTAATGAATCACCTAATTGACATCAATCTTTTCATTAAACGACCACTTTTACCTGTCAAGTAATTGTGTTTTTAGAGAACGCCACCTCGTTATGTCACAAGTGTCAACAATCAAAACACAACAATAAACGTGTGAAAAACTATTTCCCATACCGTTTTAGCGTATGCAAATGAAGTTAAGTCCAACAAGAATGTCGAACGACACATATACCCCCCTTTCTAGCCATTGACTCACATAATTGGTAATTTTATTAAAGAAACTTGCCAAAAATGGGTACATGGAAGTGTTCAATTATGGAAAAATCAACGGAAACCATTTTGACATTTTAGGCCCATGTGACATTGACCTTTGACCTAATGACCCCTAAATCAATAGAGGTCATCTAATACTTATGACCAATAACTAGGTGAAATATGAAGACTTTGTGATGAATACTTTTCAAGATAATCAGCGGAAACCCTTTTGACATTTAAGGCCCCTGTGACCTTGACCTTTGACCTAGTGACCCCAAAATCAATAGGGGTCATCTACTAGTGATGACCAATCACTGTGTGAAATATGAAGACTTTGTGATGAATACTTTTCAAGATAATCAGCGGAAACCATTTTCACATTTTAAGGTCCCTGTGACCTTGACCTTTGACCTAGTGACCCCAAAATCAATAGGAGTCATCTACTAGTGATGACCAATCACTATGTGAAATATGAAAACTTTGTGATACATACTTTTCAAGATAATCAGCGGAAACCATTTTGACATTTAAGGCCCCTGTGACCTTGACCTTTGACCTAGTGACCCTAAAATCAATAGGAGTCATCTACTAGTGATGACCAATCACTATGTGAAATATGAAGACTTTGTGATGAATTCTTTTTAAGATAATCAGCAGAAATTATTTTCACATTTTAAGGTCCCTGTGACCTTGACCTTTGACCTAGTGACCCTAAAATCAATAGGGGTCATTTACTAGTTATGACCAATCACTGTGTGAAATATGAAGACTTTGTGATACATACTTTTTAAGATTATCAGCGGAAACCATTTTGACATTTAAGGTCCCTGTGACCTTGACCTTTAACCTAGTGACCCCAAAATCAATAGGGGTCATCTACTAGTTATGACCAATCACTATGTGAAACATGAAGACTTTGTGATGAATACTTTTCAAGATAATCAGCGGAAACCATTTTGACATTTAAAGCCCCTGTGACCTTGACCTTTAACCTAGTGACCCCAAAATCAATAGGGGTCATCTACTAGTTATGACCAATCACTATGTGAAATATGAAGACTTTTGTGATACATACTTTTCAAGATAATCAGCGGAAACCATTTTGACATTTAAGGTCCCTGTGACCTTGACCTTTGACCTAGTGACCCCAAAATCAATAGGGGTCATCTACTAGTGATGACCAATCACTGTGTGAAATATGAAGACTTTGTGATACATACTTTTTAAGATAATGAGCGGAAACCATTTTGACTTTTTAAGGCCCCTGTGACCTTGACTTTTGACCTAGTGACCCCAAAATCAATAGGGGTCATCTACTAGTTATGACCAATCACTATGTAAAATATGAAGACTTTGTGATAAATTCTTTTCAAGATAATCAGCGGAAACCATGTGGTCTACCGACGGACAGACTGACAGACCAACGGACGGACCGACAGACAGACAGACAGACATTAGCAAAACAATATACCCCCTCTTCTTCGAAGGGGGGCATAATAATATCGGATAAACAATGCAACACTCCGCCCATACTGAGATGGTGTATACGCTTCGCTTGTTGACATTTAGACTGCATTGAATTGACCTTGAACTTGATCAGCCATTAAATTAATCGTAACAAATAGATGTAGTTTGTTCATTTCAAATGAAAAAAATGCACAACAGGAAACATCTTCACTAATAGGGTTTTCGTGTTGGAGACAAGGAAAAACAACGGAGAAGTTAAAAAATTCTGGAAAAAATGTCAAACATGTACGTAATGGATCTTGAAACTGTTTTGTCAATAAATATCAGAAAGTTATTTTTTACATTTGCATCCATTTAGATTATCGGAACGTACTTTTTTTTCAACATTTATATAAAAATGAAGTTGAAAAACAATCCCACCGAATAAAAAAGATGTCATTTATAAATTTTGACTTTTATATCATGCTGACTGTCTTAAGAGACCGTTTCATTAAGCGACCGTTTTGGGTGTTTCCCTTGCCCGGTCGCTTAATACACGTTTGACTGTATAATCAATGTGGGGAAACAAACCAAATCAATCATTTAAATTGTGTGCCATTGAAATGCACACAACAAATATATAATGTACGGTTTTACTTTTCATCAAATAGCACAAACATGAAAATTAGAATACCAAAATTTATTCTTATTCTTAGAGATAAATCCTTAAATATATTAACCCTTAACCTGCTGAAACCAAGTGATAAGTCTTTACCCTCATCATAGAACCAGATGCATCAGTGTAGTCTGACCAGGCTCTATACTGTTGGTACAACTAGCTTATTTTTTGTAATTTAATATTGCTTTCCCTTAAACTTAGAATGGATTGTCCTAAATTCAAAGCTGGGCAAATCCATTACAACTAGAAATGTGTCATCATGCCACGGATGCCCCCGCATGCAGCCAAAATTTCAGATGTTATAATATTTAGTTCCAAATTTGTTTGCACAAATTATTGTTTTCATTTTAAGTTCAAAGCCCTTAAAACTTTTCAACGTTTACACAAACCATTTTCATACAATGTTCAAGGCACTGAAATTATTCAGTCTTAACCTTTTGAAAATAGCATATTTCATATTTGTAGCCAAAATAATGGCTACATACATTTCCACAAAAGTATGAGTGCTGAAACTGAAAGTTCAAATTTTTTCCAATATTCAAGAAAGATAAGTTTCCTAAGATGTATCTATATTATTTTCAAAGTGAAAGGGACATAACTCTGCCAAAAAATCATCGAACCATGACCAAATTCCAACTTGACCTGCCCATTCCTTTGACATATCCATATGTCAAATTTGAGTTGAATATGTAACACTGTTGGGTAGATAATGAACAGAAACTGTAAATTTCATATTATTTTCAAAGTGAAAGGGGCATTACTCTGCCAAAAATCATTGAACCATGACCAAATTCGAACTTGGCCTGGGCATTCCAAAAACATATCCATATGTGAAATTTGAGTTGAATGTGTTGTACTGTTGGGGAGATAATAAACAGAAACTGAAAATTTCATATTATTTTCAAAGTAAAAGGAGCATAACTCTGCCAAAAATCATCGAACCATGACCAAATTCAAACTTGACCTGTATTTTCTCATGACATATCCATATGTCAAATTTGAGTTGAATGTGTTGTACCGTTGGGGAGATAATAAACGGAAACTGAAAATTTCATATTATTTTCAAAGTAAAAGGGGCATAACTCTGCCAAAAATCATCAAACCATGACCAAATTCGAACTTGACCTGTATTTTCTCATGACATATCCATATGTCAAATTTGATTTGAATGTGTTGTACCGTTGGGGAGATAATGAACGGAAACTGAAAATTTCATATTATTTTCAAAGTAAAAGGGGCATAACTCTGCCAAAAATCATCGAACCATGACCAAATTCAAACTTGACCTGTATTTTCTCATGACATATCCATATGTCAAATTTGATTTGAATGTGTTGTACCGTTAAGTAGAAAATGAACGGAAACTGAAAATTTCATATTATTTTCAAAGTAAAAGGGGCATAACTCTGCCAAAAATCATCGAACCATGACCAAATTCGAACTTGACCTGTATTTTCTCATGACATATCCATATGTCAAATTTGATTTGAATGTGTTGTATCGTTAGGGAGATAATGAACGGAAACTGAAAATTTCATATTATTTTCAAAGTAAAAGGGGCATTACTCTGCCAAAAATCATCGAACCATGACCAAATTCAAACTTGACCTGTATTTTCTCATGACATATCCATATGTCAAATTTGATTTGAATGTGTTGTACCGTTGGGGAGATAATGAACGGAAACTGAAAATTTCATATTATTTTCAAAGTAAAAGGGGCATAACTCTGCCAAAAATCATCGAACCATGACCAAATTCGAACTTGACCTGTATTTTCTCATGACATATCCATATGCCAAATTTGAGTTGAATATGTGCAACCGTTACTAAGATAATGAGCGGAAACTGATGATGACGGAATGACAGAATGACGGAATGACGGAAGGACGGAAGGACGGAAGGACGGAACAGGGTAACACTATATGCCCCGGCCATTACATGGCGGGGGCATAAAAATTTAGCAGATTAAGGATTAATACTAGTAACCAGGGACAAGTTAAAAGTTGTGACTTACCGGTCTCCGCACCTGCAACTGTTGTTGCTGTAGCAATTCTTGTCGTTTCTGAGCCTCAGAAACTTCGAGGATGTGATGACGACTTGAGCGACGCTCAGTCTGACTTGCGCTAGAACTCAGCACCCCTGACCCCATCAGCTCCTCCATGTTCATCTCTGAAATATATCACTTTCACCATGATGCCAGGTACTAGATTCATCTTTAATTATTGTTTTTTTACATAAAGTTAGGAACCAGATGTTACTTAATTTAAACATGCAGTGTTAAAGACAAATAGGGCAAACAAGAAAGAGAGAGAAAAAAAACAGAACTGAATCATGCAAAAGTAAAATTATGTAAACATTGAGAAAATTTCCCTGAAATGTAAAGAAGTTATGTAAATGAACAGCTTAAAAGATTGTTAAATTATCATGAACATATAATTACATAAATGATAAGGAAATATCTGCACAAGATCAAACATGAAAACTAAACATTTCCTCCACCATCTCACCAAGCTTAAAACACTCTCACTCTTAAACTACTGTGAAAAAATGTATGTATTACGTATATATTATAAAAAGAAACAATGTCTTATATGTAAATGTGGTAAATAACCTGAAATGAAACGCTGAAAAAAGCAGAAAATTACAGGCACACGTGTCTCTGATCACACAAAGCTTGTGTTGTTAACTGAACTGCACTCTTGCCAAGAAAAATGGTTCAGCTTATGAGTATTTTACTTATTTAACTATACTTATAATTATTTTCACTTCTTTTTTCTTTTTCTTTTTTTATCTTTCTCTCTTTACTATATGTATGCTATACATATTATAGTATTTTAATCCATACTTATTATTCACATTACTTGATATATATGTGTTTGTTTTTATCTTTATGCAAAATAATGACAAAAAAAAAAACTTTCAAACACCAGCAGCAAACTTGTTCAAAATACAGTAACAAAGATTTACAGAAAAGCAAAAATAAAACAGTGTGTCATATGACCATTTTAAGCCTTAAGTCACATGACCAAAGCTTTCAGTCACATGTTCAATTAAGCATTAAGTCACATGACCAAAGCTTTCAGTCACATGTTTATTTGAGCTTGTAGTCACATGACCAAAGTTTTCAGTCACATGTTCTTTAAAGCCTTATGTCACATGACCAAAGCTTTCAGTCACATGTTCAAATAAGCCTAAAGTCACATGACCAAAGCCTTCAGTCACATGTTCATTTAAGCCTTAAGTCACATGACCAAAGCTACAAGTCACATGTGTAAGCCATTGTACATAAACTCACCATTATCAGCAACCCATGTATACCCAGCTACAATAGTATCATACTATACTTTATCATTATTGTTAATAATAACTGACACTTTACTACTTACTAAACAAAACCTCTAACCATCATAATATTTCAAAAACATCTTTTCAGTCAATAAAAATGCAACCCCCTCCCAAACAAACGAGAAATGGAACATATAATAATTATCATGACAATTTTGCCATTCAAAGGCAATAACTCTTACAAAATTGTAAATAAATTTGCAAAAGTATATCAATTATTTCTTTATTGAAAATTAAATTCAAGAAACAAACCAGAAGATACTTCAAATAATTGATATAAAATGATTTGATTAGAAATTTTGTTTAGCACATATTTTTGATACAACCTAGACTAGCTAAATATGAATATAAGCAAGGTAATCTTCCCTGAGCTTTCCATTTGGTTCATACTGCATTTTCATACCATTTTATTATTCAATGTGAATGTGGAAAGGTATTTTACTTTTCAAGAGCTAAATGATAAGGCATCAGGACAATAACCTTTAAACTACAAGAATATGTTATAAATTTTTTTCATTTTAACCTTTACGCTTCTAAATTAAAGCAAATGGACTTAGGTCTTTATTGGCTGGGACAGTATGATTCATCTATCTTACAAAAATTGTAAATATTAATTTCATAATTAAAATATATTCATTGCTGATTGTTGAATAAATTTCTTAGTTGTAAAATAATTACACAAACTACTTTAATTGTAATAGAAAACTAGCACCATTTACTTTGTGAAACTATGACAAAACCATAAGGGAAAACTAGAAAAATGTCTATAGGACACATATGCTCCTGCCATACTACACATGTATATCAGTTAACTGTGACTTAGGTGTTGCAGGTGACACACCCTATGACCATGGTGAAGATCTGTTTTGACAATCCATTACAGAAGATAAAAAGAGTTAAACCAAAGATAAAGGCAGACCTTTGACTTCCATCTGCTAGCTTGACCTTGAATATGCAAACATGGATTTTGCAAATTACCCAACTGTGGTATGAATGTGATTGTGCCAAATATTTTGTCAAACCATCAAGGAATGACAAGAGTTTTTAAGCTGTACATATTAATTTCACCATTGACTGCCACCATCTTTAAACTTTAAAACTTTCAAGGTGGAGATTTGGGTCTTGCACACAATACAGTCTTCTTTCTCTTCCTTGAATCCCATCATGCATGCAGAGGTTATTGACTGGTCACAAACGCAAGCTGCACTCAGTCTATATGACAAAACACATAGTTCAATCTTTTTCTCTGACTAGGGATTAAGGACTATCATGCAACTCATTGTCTGCATATAATATTTAAGTCTACCAATCCATTTTGAATTTGAATCATGCATGCCAATGATATGGACTGGCATGAAATCCAACTCCAATCCTTTGCTGTGACCTTGACTTTTCAACTTGGGTGTCAGTCTTCCACCTGACACATCCTCTATTTATAGTGATCATGTTTAACCAATTTATTTTGAAATCATGCATGTAGTAGACATGGACTGGACACAAGAGAAATGACTTTTTGCGCACACAACACACAATCATGTGAACAAGGTAAACACTATATGCCTTTGCCCTTTGGTGGCAAGGTCATAAAAAACATTGCCCCTTTTAAAGGTCAAGATAAAAATTCTAAAGTCAGGAAAATACTGTTAAGCTACCTCTATAGGATTAAATATAATGGTAAATAATATTCCTCACTCTAGCTTTTGGTCATCTTTAAAAAGTTGTGATTCTCTGAACTGTGGCCCATTTTGCTTTGCTGTTGTTGAACAAAACCTAGTTTGCAAGTGATTAACATATACAGACAAACATTGATGACTCCAATTCAGGGTCTTGAATAAAGGCGGCAAATAAATGCTTAACCTGCTTAAAAAAATACTGATCAATCTTTGACCCCAGCAGAGCACAAATGTTTGCATCTCAATTTTTTGTACTTTCAAATTGAAATAAGTGGACTGTTCCAAATTTGAAGCTGGGCAAATCCATTATGTGACATACAGGATGGGATGAAAATAAATTGTTCTAGAAACAGGAATCTTGGGACTATTAACATTAAATCATAACAAACAATAAATTATTTTGGAATTTCATATGAAATGCAATTACTAAGAAGATTAGTTTCGTAATACATTTTGTAAAGCTGAAAAAAGGGGTAAAAATGGATATGATATTATTGTATACTAATTATGTGATAAAACTGCTTTTAGCTCCCGGGTGTAAAAAGTCCATGCTTTTCCAGGGATTTCCATGGAAAATAAGAGGCTGGAGTATTGGAACAAAATTTTCCAGCCTTTTCCAGCCTGAAGCTGAGAAAAAATGGGCTGGAAAAACAGGGAAAAAACATGGAACATTTTCCATGCTGCATGGAATATTTTCCATGTTTTCCATGGAAAAGCATGGACTTTATTCCATGCTTTTCCATGTACATGGAGTATTGGAACAAAAGTATGGATTTTTTTCCAGGGTATTCCATGTGTCTGCCAACCATAGAGGCTGGACTTTTTACCATGGTAAATAGTCCAGCCTTGATGGAATAACATGGAAAAAAATCCAGCCTAATTCCAGCATCCCTGAATGTTCTTAAAATGTAAAATTCTGAGATGGAATTCAGCACAGGAATGTTTGGGGTGGAATTTTTATTAGTTTAACATGATCACATATTTCTTTCACAAAATTTAATACATATCCTTTAGTCCAAATACAGAATAGAACATCCTACATTCACTATAGCACAAACAGTTTTTTTTTACTAGCTGCAGGTTTGGTAGGTTCTGGTTGTCTTATAAATTTTAGCAATTATTTTGCCCTTAATCTGTCAATAAGAAACCTTTTTTAATCTTAAATTTGTTTCAAGTGTTTCTGATTATTTAAATTACTATTTCTTTTATTGATGTCCATTTCCAGTCCTCTGTCTGACTGTTTCCTAGAACTTCTTGTGGTTGTGCTCACCTTTAAAGATAAAATTCATAATAAATTTAACACAGATGTGGTAATGACTTATGTTTTATTGCATATAAATATTATGCAGTTATATTTCGTATCTTTTAATAACATCAAATCTTATGTTTCAACAGTATTTACTATTAAATATTCACTTATAATGCTTATGCATATTCGAAAATACTAAAGCAATGCAGTATATCTTATTTCAAAGTGCACAAGTGTTTAAGAATTCCTCTGTACATGTATAAGAATTTAGTAAATTTGTGACAATATTTATCACCCAGTATGTATTTTTTCAAGAAAAGACATGGAATATAAAAGTACACATATTGAGATTTAAAAATATACCTTTTCAGGATTAATACTGCACATCATCATTAAACACTGCTGGTAATTCTCACAGTCAGCACTTATGACCCATCCTGCAAGTTATGTAATTGTATAATGTAAAATGTAATCATTGAAAACATAACACATACATGTAAATAACAAATGATTATCGTATGATGTTCAGCTGTACAAAACTAATGATTGTACCATTTAGTCATATTTAATCAAATTGATTTAATTTGTTTTATTTGTAGGAAATGAAAAAGATCTACTAACAATTGTCATTTAAAAAATATACATTATAAAGAAATCATTGAATAATTTATATTTTACAGATTATACTTGTATAGATTAAAAACAATTATCAGAAAAACAAATGCATGAAGTTGAAAATATAAAAACAACCTTGATCTCTTGTTACAAATGTTGATAGTTTGATATATATAAATAACCTGTTTCTGCATTAATGTAACTTAAGGTTTATAAATACCTGATTCTGTTGTATATCTCCTTGTCCCAGGTGATTCTGATTGTTATCATACCAATACTTAAACACTTTAAAATCTTAAACAAAACAATATCTCCAAAACTGCTTAAATATCAAGAACATCCTCTGCACTCTTTGCTGACCCAGATATCTTAGAATTCAAAATTTACAACAGTTATACTGGACAGGTCTATCATTATGTAAAGCAGGGTTAATCTACTCATCATTTTAACTTTTATTCTTTGAGCGTAAAAGAAAATATCAAATAGCTAATAGATATATAGGTTTTAAAGATCATTACAAATTTTTGTACAAAAAAGATTGCAATGTCTTTCTAGACACTTTCTGCATATGAAATTTATAATGTTATCTCTCCCCAAAATAATCACATGGAACAGCCTGATCTGAAATGACCAGTGGAGTAAATTAGTCATGCACAGATGTTGAGAAAATGCTGGTCAATGAGTTTTATCAGATCTCTGATCTGTGTAGCGTAAAATCTCAGTGGATGTAGTATTTATTTTCCTAAATATTATCAATTTAATATAGATTATGACATTCTTTCATGCACTGTTTTGTTTTGTTTATTTAATTATTTATTGTTATCCAAAAACATGAATTCTTACAATTTAAAAATGGCAAACAATGCAATCCCATCTTGATTATTATAGTGTCTGAATGAATTTTAATCACAGACTTTAATTAATTTATAGTTAAACTTAAAGCCTGTAATTAAATGAATATTATTTCATTGTACATAACTTCATGTAAATTTATTTAAATAATAATATGTATTTTGAACAATCAATTCATTTATGTCTTTAGCATAGACATTTTTTCTGAGATACCCTTTTCAAACTGCATGAAATGTATAAAGTGTCAAATTTCAAATCATTTACAGTAACTTGCATTAAAATAAATGATGATTGTATATTTTCTTTGTAAATTCACAATATAATGTGCTGAATATATAAAGTAAGATTTCTTGTTGTAATTTTTACAAGTTTTTTCCAGCATACTTAGAGAAAGTTTAACACATTTCCAGCATCAAAAAAATCTAAGTTCCACTTTCCATGCTACATGGAAGTAAAGTCCATGGTTTTCCAGGCTTTTACCCCAAATGTCCAGCCAATTTCCAGCCTATTCCAGCAATGCTGGAAATGGCTGGACAAAAAAAGTCCACATAGCATGGAAAAAATACCAATTTTCCATGAATTTCCATGAAATTCCATGCTTTTCCATAGTTTTCCAGGGTTTACCAGCCTCTCTTCCAGGCTTACCCTGGAAAATCTACACCCGGGCTATGCCGTGCAATAAAATGTAAAAATGTTTTTATATCTAAAACAAATACCTCGCCAGACAACAGTATGGTTTTCTCCAATCATAGGAGAAACTCCTGACAAATAAAATTATAGATATAATAGAATAACATTTTTAAACAATTAAAACCTCAATTTAGGATAAAATTTTTAATTCCGGGAAAAACAAGACATATCGCTAAAGGTGATGGATTCTCCCTGAAAGTGCTCTTATGTCAATATACTATAATTAAAATATGTAAAAAAATGTAAAAATTATATTTCTATCATAATTGACCTTGACAATGGTGACAAAATTCAGAGGACTACACAAGATATGTTTCTACAAAATATGAAAGGATGTTAATAAATAAAGACTTCATAAGCAAAAGTAAAAAATAAAAAATTAAGCACAGGTGTCCTTGACCCAAATGACCTTTCACTCCAACCCAAATTTTGAAGACCAGGTATTTAAGATACCTTATATTGTCTATCAATAAAAAGGTTGTATGGTCACTGGTGTCCTTAACCCCAGTGCTCCTGATTTCCAACCAAATGTAGAGGACCACATAGAGTATAATATTCCTACCAAATATGAAATTGTTCTGTCAAAAATAAAGACTGTATAAGCAAAAGTGTAAAAATCTAGTTTTAGCACTGATTACTTTGACCTTGATCAAAGTGAACCCAAGTACTACCCAAACTTGGAAGATCACCTAGGGTATCTACTTAGCTAATATACAAGTGAAAGTATAAGTGAAAGTGTAAAAATCTAGTTTTTGCACTCATGACCTTGACCTTGTCCAAAGTGACCACAAACTCCATCCAAAAGTACAGAGTAGAGGCCCACCCAAAATATATTCCTACTAAATATGACAGCTCTCCACAGCTAATAAATAAAGTTGCTAGAAAAAATGTGGGAACAGCACAATGGAACAACCAAAAGAAAAAGTGGAGACCAAAAAACAAGGACATTGTTGGATGCTCCCCGACAATGAAGTAGTTTAAAAGAATTCAATTCAGGGGCTGTTGAGAATAAACCAGGCAAAATATTACAACTGAAACAATGCTATGGGGCATAATTTTGTGAAGAATCACTGAACCAGAACATGCTTCTAATAGTGAATTTGCTAGGAAATTTGAATGAATTCCAGGCTGTGGTTGCTTCTAAATAGGCTCATAAGAGGCATTATTATTTGCTAAAAACTACTGAAACAGGACATGTTTTTTAATATGTGTACT